CGGGGCTATAGGTTGGTGTTTTATTTCCTTTGTTCGCCCGTCGTGCCGTGGGGAAACAGACAAAGGTCAGTACATACTGACTAGATAAACAGAACAGACAGATCACAGACAGATCAGACAAGACAGAAAGACAGACCCGACAGACAACAAGACAGACCAGTACAGATCAGACAGAACGCTGCCGTTTCTTATAGTATAGTGGGACTTTAGGGCCGGATAAGCTGCAAAAGTTGTCTGTCGAAAAACTCACCTTCTCCGGGCTCCGACCCGTCACTTCATTCCAATGAAATAAAAAAAATAGCCGCTATAGTAATTTCTCCCGCCGTCCAACTAGGGAGTTAATTGAACGGTAACGGGCGTAGCTGGAAGGATAAACAATAAAAAAATTTCTCTCTTGAACGCCTTATACGAACGATTTCCGGCGACCAAATGTAACCCCCTGATGGGTTTCGCACAGTGATGCCCACTAACCAAACGAAGACGTTCATGGGTCAATCAGTGCAACATAAGTTCCTGTTCATTAAGTGTACGGTTATCGCTAAACGCATTAAGCACGTGTATTGCTCGAGCGCTATCCGCGACGGGAGGGGGGGGGGCATTCGCACTCCTGCTCTTCTATTAGGTTGTTCGAAAAGTCCTGACGGACCCACTTTGTATGAATTGTCTAGAAACAAGACCCAAAATGCATTTTGGAAGTTTTTATGCCCGATTAAGTAGGCAGTTGGCACGATGGAGTTTCCTACTGTAGCCTAGAATGCAGTAGGCGGCGCTGTATAGTGGGGAAAAAGCGAAACGAAGCGAAGTGAAACGGTCCAAAAATTCGGCGAAAAAGCCTCGCGTTCCGCTGACTATTAAATCCGCTTGTCGGACAGAGTCTTCCCATAGGCATCTTACCATCACCCGGCTACCCGAGAATACGCCTGCAATAATGTGTAAGCTCATATATGCGATGCGGCAATCATCGCCCCTTCAATACCAACTTCCTTCGCCTTCAATAATTGCTTGCAAATGAATGACTACGAGCTTCAGAAAGGTCGTCCATTTGTGGGCGGGGGGGGGCGGCAGAGGGCGTGGATGAAAAGTTGTGGCCTTGGTAAGGCCCTTGTAAGCCACCTTCCCCGGGGTAACTGCTATCAGGCGCCTGCCGCAGGGTCGCGGATTCTTTCCTTGCAAGAGTATTTGATTCCTAGTCGCTGCGGAATTTATCGTGGCCAACTGCTTAATGAAGTGTGTCCCCTCGGGGTTCTCGCACATGGGTTATATCTAGACTTTTGGAAGTTTTCAAAGCTTAAAAGTCCCGCAGAATCGAGTACTTTTTCGACCTATCCATATTATGCAGTTCCTGAGGCAAACTCCGCCTGTAGTCGAGCGAAGCTAACACTTACGTTACGTCTTGAGAAAGGCAGATCGCTTGCCATGAAAGAGCGTGCCTAGTCGTCATCAGCGCTTCCAGGCTGGAACCTTATTTAACTCGCTAGTTAAGTCAATGTGTACGGTCGCCCACAGCCAAGTAATGACGACCATTGACTCAAGCTTCTTGGGCGTCAGCCGAAGGTAACCAACGCAGTAAGTGTGGTGCAACCTCATCTAGCACACCTGCCTGACAACTTCCGTGCTTCTCCGCGATCTCGTTATCGGAAAAATTCTATGTGAAGGATGCCTCATGAGTTGGACCCGTCTGACAAGTCATACCGAATGACCGCATGTGGGAATCAGGCCACGTCAAAAAATCATGAATTTTGATCAGAGAATGCGACCGTACCCCGATTATTCAGCAAAGTTAGCGGCCTCTAATTATCACCTCTTTTGGTCCCTATTGCATCCTTTGAAGAGCAAAAAGCCCGAAAATCGACCTCAACTTGAGAATGAGGTCCACCTCTTCTTTTTATCACAGTTGCCGTAGTTCTATGAGAATGGAAATGAGAAGCTGTGCAAAAGAAGGGGACTAGTCCTAGTCATCAACTATGGTTACCTTGTGGATTGGAGATGTCTTTGGGTGACAGAAAATTTAGTGCGAAAAATTTGGTCCAAAGTGTCGCAGGACTTTTCGAACAACCTAATAGAAAGCTATTTCATGAGCTTACAAAGATTGACTGGTTTTATCCTGCTGAGACTTGTAAAATAAAGCTTGTGAAGCAGCGAACGTGCAAAAGTGGCACCCATCATCCCCTGAATAATATAATTTCAATCAGGCGATTCTAAAAAAATGATTTTCAGACTATATGAGACCACGATGCATGCGGAATGAAACAAGTTTTGACCATAACTATTTTGCGCAGCCCTGTCTCTGCTCTTTTTTGAAGCCCATGCTCACAGGAATTCTCCCATGGCGGGTGGCTTTGAAGCGCGCTATACCCCCAAATGATCTGCTGTGGTCACAAGCAATCCTACGAATACAGTCCAAATTGGTATATGAGTAGGGTACCGACTAGCCATTAGAGCATTTCAATTCTGAACTCGTTTCTATAGTCTCACATTTTTATTGTACAATTTCATTGCTTGTATCAGTCTCTAACAACTAGGCTGCATAACCTCAGCTTTTGATTTGTGTCGAGTTGATTTATTTTGCAACCATCTTTTAGTTGGATCATCTCTACTTCTTCGGAATTTCTTCGCTAGGAAGTCTAACCTGCGTTAGCATCACGTCATTTGTCCAATAATCAAACCACACGAGCTCCTTTCTAACAATTTTTAAGCTGTTTTGCGTTATCGAAAGAACTCGCGGCGTCCCGCTTTCCCGATTCAAAGAACACAGCGATTAGCTCACCCTCCTTTCGTCGTACCATCAGTTTACTTCGCACGAGGGGATAAGGTAGCTGGACAACCTGTACTGAAATGTTCCTCAGATGTTCCCCATAGGCAGTAGCGGTTCCTCCGTCTACACCGTCGCAGGGAGATGAATACATTTGTCATCGTCGCGCAGCTCAAGAAGGACCACAGCATCTACGTTGGCCTGATGCCGCTGCATATTCCAGGGTGGAGTCACGAAGGTCGCGCGAAGGGTCCTGAAGACTGCTTATTGCTAGTGCAAGATACCTGCCGTACAGCTTCTCAGACGACGTCGCTATGATTGACGATTCCCCTTTCATGATTCCCGACAGGTAGGTAAAACCGATTCTGTGGGTGCCATGATCAAGGACTGTGATTGGAGCGAATGTTTATCTGCGCCATTGTTCCGTACTACACAAGTTGCAAGAGTACGTTCCATGGACGATGTCCTTTTTTTGCTACTCCACCCTTCTGTGCAAGGTGCGCCAAGATACTACCGCAGCATCACACGGTTTGCTCATGAGGGTATTCACCCAATAGTCGTGATGATGTTGAATGATACCTCTTCCATCATTGGCTCAAAGTTTTCTTCCCGAACTTCACTTCCGCAAGTGGAAACTAAGTTGCAAAAATGTTGAACTCCTTACTCCAGGTCGCCAATCTGGGTAAGCCTTTTGTTCATTGGGCTTATCAGGACTGCTCCTCGAATGAATAGTAGTCACTCTTTTCCTGACGCCACCATGAATTTTCAGCTGCACAGACACCAAAGTCTTGCAGAAACATAACTACAACACACCCCAAGAAAACGTGTGAAGGTCGCCGTCGGGCAAAAGGAGGGTCTCTGCTCCTCGACTGACCTTTCGGAAGATTGCACGGATCTAATCATTCTTCGCAGGAGAAGATTCATAGAGGTTTTAGTCTAGTGCAGTTTGAAGGCCACTGGAAAAAAGTGTCCGATATGGTTTGAAAAGTGTCCGATTTGGTCTGAAAAGTGTCCGTTTAGTTTGAAAGGTGTCCGATTTGGTTTGAAAAGTGTCCGATTTGTGGCCAAATAGTTAGGAAAGATAATCGCGCACGTTTTCCTTTTTTTTTGCATAGTCGCTGTAGAAGGAGCCTTAACAGGATCGCGATCGGTCAGAAAGGTTCCACACTGCTGTGAACTCCATGGTTACAGCCGCCTTCCCGATTCATAGAGATAACTGTTCTCAAGACTACTGACGATGCTTAAAACCGCTTTGAGCAATTAAGATAGTGGAATTTCGACTTGAATGCCAAGAAAAAACAGAGCGTCGAAAATTCAATTTCGTCGACCTTCACTTCACGCACTTCAAAATAAGTTGAAATAGAACCTCAAAAAATTCTAAGCGTATTGTATTTAATAATAAGAAGTTCCTGGCGAACGCTATAGAATTGAATGGTGATATTTTCATCTATGTAATATCTCATTGTCCCATCGACTGTTCAAGAAGAGAAGTGCCTCGTCGGGTATGTGAGCGAAGTGGAGAGACGGCCAGGACAATTATAAGCTTAGTGTGCAGGACATAGTGCAACCGGAAGAGCAACGATTCAACGGCAATGGGCACGAAATCCATGCATTTTGGCGCTCAATTGTGGATTACGGTAAGGGGCCCAAGAGAAGGGTAGACAAAACAGTCGAAGACACTCTAAAAAAAGGCGCGATATTGGGCGAGTCTTCGAAGAAGAGAGAATGAGTCGGCGAAAGACCAAAGGCGGATGGGAGTACAGGAAAGAGAGCGAGACGACCCAGGTCGGGCCTTAACGCAACTCGTGACACGCGCGTGTAAAAATACTGGACTCCAGGATTCATATAGCCTCCACACAGGTGAGACATTTACTGCGAGTGGTGTACATAGGACTTACGACCACTCCAGTGCTCTGGTCTATGGCTATCCGGCCATGAAAGCGAATCATTGCGGCTCGGTTCAAAAGTGTGGTGACGGGCTTCTTAAACACGTAAAAGACTCTACAAAATGGGTAATGCGCAACGTATCTCACGCAAGATCCTTGATATGCTCCACAGTACTAGTTCCTGCCAAATGGTTCTCTCATCACTAGTGCGTATAGGTGCTTTTGTCGTTAAAGACAGACATGTGCACCACTGGTGACGGGAACGGTGGCAGATAATCTTACTCAATGTTAAGTACGACTTTTGCCTGTGAGTAAATGCTGCACCAAGAACTCCACCATCTTATTTTTGACTATTCCAGGCTATGGCCTTTCTTTCTGCACCGATGTTCAACTCACTTTATAATGGTGGACTTTTTCCTGTGCCGAGATCAGCGTCCAGCGAAAATCAGCTACCATGTGAGAGCACTGCTTCGATGGAATTTGACTGAATAGGTTATGTTACTACAGCGCGGTTGGGTATGGGCGGAAGCGTTTTGGTAGCTTCTATGGTGCAATTCCTCGCAATGAGTGGTTCGTACTCATTTATCCCCTCTCCTTAGAAAAGCTTGTCATTGAGTCACTATGCCTGATGGTTCAGCCAAGAATATGTGGAGTCGGGCTGGGATTTTTGTTTTATCGTAGTCAGGGATGAAGAAATTAGTTCAGTATTTACTGCTATAGTGGAGTATTTCAGTGGATACATGCTCATAGGGTTGTTTTTTGATGCAGAAACAGAACTGCTTTGAAGGAAAAATGAGTTAGAAATCACTCTAAAACTCCGACAACTGAGGGATAGATCAATGTTTGTGAGTGAGTAAGCCTAAGTTATTCATATGTATGATTGTTACAGCTACGAAGAAGAAGATTATTGACCCATTCGATCCAGAAGCGAGTGTTCCGCTACCGTATCAACTCGAAGAGCAGTGAGTTTGTTTGGCGAAATCATACAATACGATTGTGGTTGGCTATGGCTTGATTTCGGCGTTTCTTCCGCTAACAACTTCGCATTGAACCCGTCTTCTGATTCTGCTGTACCATGGAACTTCTGTTCCGCTGCAGAGCAAACGTTTAGATTCGGTTTCAGCACTTTTGCCTTCTGTTTTGTTCAAAAAGCAGGTTTTCTCGACTCTCCAATGGAAAAATTTATGATGCCTTCCAGATAGTAATTCTTTGTGCATCCAAGGCACGTTTCGATTTCAGCGATGGGTTCGATCCCCGTCTCAACTAAGTGACTTGGGCCCACAACCAACAAAGAATTGCTCCTTTTGATGGCTTGAAAATGTGCAAGAAGCGGCCTGCAGGTTATCGCCTAAGCCTATGAGGCCTTCTTCGACCCATGTTGCCCGTATCGTCGTGATAAAGCCATGGTGCTTCGACGCGTCTCTCTGCTGCTCTACGCCGTTCTCTCTCGCATTTTGTAGTTAATATTGACCATATTGGCCATCTGGTCTGGTGATTGTGGTCAAATGTAGCAAGAAGGACCTTAGTGAGATTCGTTTCCTGTTCCCTTCCTCATTACTAAATCAGCGAGCACGACCCCCTTTTATTTTCAAACCCTGTTGTGTGCAAACTGCGATCGCAATTGTGGCTTTAGCCAGTCGTTATTATGGCGCGTAACTTTATGGGGTACATTATTATAGTAAGGTGAGACATTCTATTGTATGGACTGTTGGAATCCCAAATTTGCACAAGAGTCCCCTGAAGCCATGGAATAATGCGGGCTACGTTTCTACTTTTTTCTTCGAGTTCTTCTTCATCTTACACATTAGCATTAGAGCTGGAAAATATGAGAAAATCCCTGGGACGTGGGAAGAGAATATTGTTTCAAGTTTAGGGGAGCAAACTCTGCGTTATGTGGATCGTCACTGTTGAGCAGAAGGGTTGTGTTCCCATGTGTATATTATTCCTCTTACACTCTCTAATAAGGAAATTATGTCGTGGTTTTGAATGCCCTTCCAGTAAGGTGTGGCACTGCACGAAGGTATCACACCTCACTGTGAGTGCTTATTGAGTAACGCCATTTCATTTGCTGGATCATGTCTTGCCAATTTTGCCAGGCCCTACAGTACTTCGGTGTGGAAACGTAATGAACGTGAGCGCTATAGGGTCCGATGTGTGAACAACGGCTACGAAACGTTGCGGAAACATCTGCCAGTCTCCGACGTGTGAGTTAGCATAGTTGTAAATCACTGCAACACGTGTTTTCTTTTTTCTGATACGTTCGTCCTACTCTAAATATCATTCCCAGCGGAACGTATACAAGTCGGCAAAGGTATTTTTTTCTAGATTCATTAAACTATGCGGATTCTCCTTTATGTCATCAGATCATCTCAACAGTAGTGGAATGCAGACGGAGGTGGTATAGTGATCAGTGGCGCGCTTAGCACTCGCGCAGTTCTGGGTCCAATTCGGATTGACTCCCGTACAGGCCAACCAGGCCGTCTACGCGCGGTAAATTGGTACCAGATTCGTCTGGGAGGATAAGAACACTGTCTTGTACATCGGCTAGACAGCGCAAGTCATTGTATGGACCACATCGCATTCAAAAAGCCACTACGATTCCGAATGGAAGTAGAATGCGTGCCGCATCTCGCAAGGGGATTGATTTACGCGAAGACTTTATCCTTTATCAGTGATAGGTTATAGAAAAAGATAACAACTGCAACTGGGCATAAGTAATTAGTGCGTTAACTTTTCGAGGGAGGCAGTGGAGGTCCTGCTCTTGGGAAGAAAATTTGCAAAGTACATTCCTTCCCCCCCCCCCTCAAGAATCTCATCCTCTGGTACGATTCCCTTCCCTCTTCCTCATCCCAATCTTACCCCTACCATCTGCTTTTCTCAATTCGCACTTCTCTGCATTTTTAGCAAACTTTGCCGGTAATTCTCTACTTCTTCCCCATAAAACTGCGTTTAAGCGAGCGAGTTAAAAGGCGCACTTGAAACAAAAAAAAATTAAGCAAATCCAACACTAGAATGTTCCTCTCGAAGGCACCGTGAAGGAATACGACATCCCTCCCTATCAGTACTAGAACCCACCCCTTCCTTCGCTGCCACCGTACGACCCCACTGTACGACGTGCTCTGTAGGAAACTTGACCCGCATATCTTCCAGTATATTTGAATGAAAAGGATAGGCACTTCTGGTTCGTGCTCTACAGTTTTCACCTTTTGGGCTTTAGATATGAGTGTAATTCTGAAAACCAGATTGGTGGTGCCAGCCTATGAACCGGGTATCGGTAACCGCCTAGTATTGCGCGAATCATCTGCAGGTAGCCGAGTCTGCTCAAGGTTTCACCGGGCAGCTCTCATGCAAAACCAACGCTCGCATGGAGAATAATCGCGAGCACGTGAATCCTCTGTGAGTTTTCGGCTGAATGAAATGAAAAGTCGCAGCTCGGTGACGGGCGGGGGGGGGAGCGGGGGGAGGGTGGAGAAGAGGCAGGCCAGAGGCACTCTGTACTCCCATTGATATGTCGAACTTCATGAGCTTACAGAAGTTGACAAGTCTCACCATCGTGGCTCGACGAGCTTGCTCCAACGTCACAAGAGTTCTTTAGAGCGGGACTTGTAAACCGAACTTTAAAGCAGCGAAAGTGCGAAATGTTTCACCCACCCCCTAGTCGCCGGACTGTGCTATTGCTAATCAAGTTGCGGTGACACTGGTAATGTAGAAGGACTTCTGGGAACTGCAGGGAACCCCGACTTTGCTACTGGTAATGTCATACCGCGCACACGTTGATTCATGCCTTGCGTAGGGTTTTCTTATCATTGCTACTTCATATTTTGTAATTTGAGAACACGAGCAAGCGATATTCTTTTCTAATTTGTGTTTAGGAGAAGTATACATTCCAGGGAAAAACGAATTTCGAAAGTTGACACCTTGCGACTGGCCATTCGCTACATCAAACATCTGGAGGCCGTGCTGAAGAATGAGGAGCACATTTTCAAGTAAGAGTTCTTCCATTCCAATGTTACTGGTGAAAAGAAGTCTTCTAACTCTTGAATAGACGTCAGCAGATAGAGATAATTTACGAGCAAGCATTCAGTTCCGTGCTTCTTGAGGACCTATCAAGAAGGGATTATGCATATGAGGCTTGATTAGGGGCATACATGTTGCAGCAAAAAAATGTGAGAATTCTTCTACCTGCCCTAGCTGATGAATCGTTTCAAGGAAACTGGAACATTGGGCTGCCTCACAATATTACAACTTGCACTGCATGACTACATTCATCTGAGCATACCCACGTCGCATTGTTCAGTTGATTGCTGGATGTATTGCGCCTACAGTAGCGAGCGCATCTCTCGTAGTTGTGCAAGCAGTGTAACGTGGGCGGCAAGAGCTCATTAAGGCAGCGTTCACACTTGTAGCGCTACTGCGTCGCGCTACAGCGTCGCGCTACTGCGCCGCGCTACAGCGTCGCGCTACAGCGTCGCGCTACAGCGTCGCGCTACTGCGTCGCGCTACAGCGTCGCGCTACAGCGTCGCGCTACAGCGTCGCGCTACTGCGTAGCGCTACAGCGTCGCGCTACAGCGTCGCGCTACTGCGTCGCGCTACAGCGTCGCGCTACTGCGTCGCGCTACAGCGTCGCGCTACCCCAATTATCCTCGTATCTTGTCTTCTAATTACTATGAACTGTTCAGGGGTCAATTAATAGGTAATAGACTCGTCGATACTTTTAACAATTGATACGGTCACAACATTTCCGGTCAGTTAGTCAACAGGTTGGAAAGTATATTAGAACGGCAGATCGAGCTCTGCTCTATGATGATCGATTGACAAATCCCTTTTGTTATATGGAAGATGTTTGGAGGAAGGATCCAACGTAGATTTTCCAAAAGACAAGAATCGAAATGAAGCCTGGCAGTAGCCCGAGCAGTTAAAGGAGCTGAGGCTTACATGTCAAGAAGATTGAATCCCACAGCGAGCATTCCGAGGATTTTGTTCACCGAGGTAGGGTAGCTCCGTATTTGACTGAGACCATTTTCTTTGTTAGTATTGATCTTTTGTTTCGCTGTGCCATCCGCCAACATTGGCGAAGCTTTGAGAGGTTATTCGCTCGTTGCTTTCGGTATTAGTTTCGTGTACTCACGGAGGTGACTTTTCGCGCAGTTCCCAGATGGCGAGTTTTTCACGTGACTATCTACCCCGACCCTCCCTCAGTGTACCAATTCGTAGACCCATTTGAGATCTGCACAAATAAATTGTTCGTTTTACATCTGATTTTAGTAGTCATGCCCCTCCTAGTCCCACTCCCAGGGACATCTTTTTTTATTAAACGGGACCAGAATTTTCGGGAGAAGAAAAAATCCTGAAAAGCCGCCAGGAAAGGATATTCAGGTATGATGTAGACTATAAGGGTGAATGATAGTGTCGTCCAGAGGAAAGAAACTTGGAAGAAAGTGATAAGGTGTTGTAGAATTCCTCCCCACGACCAGCAGTGCCCATTGTTCCGGGGCTGAGTATCAAAGATCTCTTTTTCCCCTTTGCGACGTTGCGCTATAAGTTAAAGGATCTGTGAGGTCTTCGAAGGATCTTTTCTAGGCTCCCAAACACTAAATCCCAGACCTCCTTCGGTATCATTTTGCAATTCAATTTTCAGAAAGCGCACATGTTTCTTGTATTCTCCGATCTCTTTGTTGTTCTAGAGCGCCCGAAATTGCTCTACAAGACCCCCCTCCCTATCCTTTACAACCTTTGCCCTCAGCTTCTAATCTTATAAAGAACTGAAGTACTCAGGTAATTTTGACCATTATTGCTTATCGAAACTGTCTTTGCCTGGCAATCGGATATTACCGATTGGCATATTTACAGACCTACCGCGTGTTCGCACCACCATCCATCTGGCGATATGAGCCTACCGGTATTGTCTAGTGTTGGGGTTTACCCTCAGGTGTCACATGACGGTTGCCTAAGGCGCTCAAAGATATAATTACAAGCAGTTAGACAAAGCTACTACGAGTCATTATCGGTCCCATGGAGTTGGCTTCCAATGGAGCCTATGAGAATGTGTGCAGGGGCTAGGGGGCGTGGTCCCGTCGGGGGCCATATGTGGCAGTGAGCTGAGTGCGAAGATGAGAGCATGAGAGAGAGCCCTGTCCAACATTAATGCCAATTGGTTCTCCCATCTATTACCCTATTAGGCTTGCAATCCTGATGTTAGTCTTGCCGATCATCTTCCGGTCTGATGAAATACCAACTGCTTGAATTTTCGTCTATTTACTTTTACACTTAATTTTTCCTAGATTACAATAAACGAGTTTTTCAGGAAGGCAAATGCTTGTCTATTGCCAGTGTCGCTCGGCTTTCAAGCCCTACTATCGCCCAGCATCAATTATTGGTCACGCTGTCCATCCGGAAACAAGCCCGCATTAGGTGAATCTAATTACCTTTTTGGCCGCTGTGTTAATTTGTCCTGTTGAATTCCTAAATTTGACCCTATTCGACACTAATAGCGCTATCTGTTCAGGAAATTGGTACTCGATCCTGACACCGGCTGTTCGCACCCTGCTCTGAAAATGGTGGAAGACAAAAGTCGGCGAGGAAGAGAACCACATTTCACTCGCACAGGCTGCTGTCCTAGAGAAGGTACCATTTCACCTTCACCTGCTTCCATTCTTTTCGATTTCTGCCTGTTTCGCCTGAATTTCGTGCCAATTTGATAGCGATTTTCGGCTTTTTTAATTAAGACGGGGATTTTCGTGACTTCTGCTTGTCTTGTATAATGCATGTGGACTTCATCGGACTGATGTCCTTCCTTTTGCCTGTCCCCGATGTCTTTTCCTCTCCATAGCGGACCATTTTCTTTGAGTGCTTCTCTGCCAACTAGTAGAATTATTATCCTTGCGCTTTAACCAACATTCCATGTTCGCTAGTATGCGATGAAATATCGGGAGCTATTGATTTGACAGGAATGAATGCATGGCGACGCACATCTGTCCATGAAGGGCGAATATAGCTGCTGATGCGAAGGGTTGTCCGGTGTCTGCTGTGCCTTGAGCTAGGCCCACCTCACCGGTTCCCATTGCCAACTCCATGCCTGGCCCATGCGCTGCCGAAACACACCGTTCTAGCGTGGTGTAATGCGATGAAATGATCGTGATATGACCTTCCCATTAGAGAGCTGAAAGCCGCAGCTTCCTCTGAAAGAGAAAGCCTCAGCCAGCCAGGCAAGCTTGATTGCGCTATTGATGGCCGTTTTGGCAGCGCCAGCCCTCTCTAATCACAGCAATTCTTAACTCGACGAGTACTTTACTAGATAGAGGACGAAGGAGAGAGGGATCAAAATGAAACGGTCTTGTCATTCCTCTCCCTTCAGTCGTGACGTCGTGGTGCAATGAGGCATTCGTTCATCGGATGCACACACGGCAATTGCTTTTCGCAGATGACGCTCGTGCCATGAATAATTCACTATTCGCCTTCGCGGATAATGTTTTATTCGCGCTGAATCGCTGTGCAATAGATCGCTAGATAGTTCCTCGGCGGCGAGACCCTGTGCACCCTCTCAATCCCGTTTCTCTCGTCAACTGGAGCAATTTAAACTGGGACTATGCGTGCCATAAATCGGCAACGAAATATTCGCCTCAGGATATTAAATGAGGAAGTGATTGCGAGATCTTCATGCAGCGCTTATGTGAGCAGTCACAACATGCCTCCACAATCATCCAGGACAATTTTATTGTAGACTCTACTCAGCACTCCAATTGGCCCTTATTAGTACACGCTATATGTACTGCTTCCAATGCCGGTCGCAAGGTCGTAGGGTGTCTACGGCCCGCTATTCCGCTTTAGGGACGGCAACATTAAGCGCTTTTCCACTTTTCCATGCGCATACTGTGCGAGCTATCTAGACAATAATCAATTCGATGGCATACAGAAGTGATTGTACAGTTAAACATTGTTACAAGGCGTCCCAGGCTGAGCTCGAGCGACAAATACTTTTCCAGACACCCCCGCATGCTGCTATCTTGTCTGCCTCATTTGTGTTTAGAGCACGGGGGTGTTCAACTATCTTCAAACGAAAGAGAATGCAGTCTGTGATATATGAACACAGGCGGCAGTGTCGGCGACGGGGAGGGTCAGTTCCACTTTTGCTACTTCCATCGATGTATCGACCCATCATAGAGAGCCTCTTCCTCGGGGTTGACAGGCCTTTACCGCGATGCGCCGTCGCGACTAGTTGCTTCAGAGTCACAAAAATTTCATAAGTCTTCACCAGAGAGTGAAGCGTGTGATAATCGAGTACTAGCGAAGCAGCGAAAGTGGCCTAAATTCCCCATCCCTCTTCTCCTCCCTCCTCCTTCTCCCCCCCCCCAGGCCTTTAATCTGCTCGCATGACCATTACCCCGCCCCCACTCAGAGTTAGCTTGAACGGATTGTGCAAGCCTGATCTCAGCCCGTGGGTGTGTCAGGGGAGGCCACCGCGCACACCACCTCCCTCTGTGCTCTGTTGAGAATCATCAAGCACTGACCCCTTGAGAATGAGAATGCTGGCCTATCGCAAAAGTCTGGACCCTAGAGGGGACCAACCTACTTCATTTTTTGAGGTGCGAGCTGCTGCTAATCCTTGCGGCCACCTGGCCAGAATCTTAGGAATTTCTAGCAGTATTTGAAGTGAACTAGCTGTTAGTAGGCGTCGCAACAAATGCCATTGCTTAGATCTATAGTAATCTGCTTCGCTAAGACGTCGCGCAATTAGTCACACGCTGCACTTGATGAAGAATCTGCATGCTCTTTCATCTTCTATTCCCGGCACGTCGCCAGATTAGCGTGATCCAGGAGATGAAAGCATGCGCTATATGAGCGACTCAGAATTGCGCTAGAGACATTGCTTAGTTGTTGCAACTATGCTGGCTTTCGCGAGCCTAGATAAATAAATCTTCCCTCTAGATTTTGGTCCATTCAAGCCAAACACCCGCAATATTTAATTGCTACAATGCGAACTACTTGCAGC